GGATCTGGCGCTGGCGAGCGACGGGCAAGGCTGCTCGGAAGATGGAAGCGGCCCGCCATGGATGGCCGTGCGTGGCAGTGGGTCCCGCCCGCAGTGGGCAGACGGTGCTGAAGTTTCCGAGCGCAGCGAAGGGATTTGCGCAACATTCGCAACCCAAGCGCGTTGCTTTGGAATGAATGGAGGATTGAATCGGGTGTGGTTCCGCAGCCACCAGCGCCCGCGCAGGGGCTGGCGCAGGAACAGGCGCAGGCGCAGGCCCAGGTGCGGGCAGATGCTGCACCGGAAGGGTCCGCCGTGAGCTCACGGCTGGCGGCGCTGAAGGCCAGGATGCTGTCGGACGGGTCCGCCTCGCCTGGCAGATCCCATGAGGCGCACAAGTAGGTGGTGGATGGGTGGCCGAAGGAGCAGGGACTTTAGCTCTTTGCCAGTGAGGACCCTCGCTGTCGTTACCCCCTCCCCACCACTCCCCCAAAGAACCTCACAGACAACATACACTTGTTAGTCGATGGGCACCCATTCGACAAAAAAGCTCAAGGCTTGTCCGCATTGCAAATTCCCGCACTGCGCCCTGGTTGTGCAAGAAGGAGAATGCACACCGTTTTCTTGCCCAGAATCTACAACTGATTGTGCTGTGTTCACACTCCACGACTGAATGCACGGTGCTGAGTGTGTGAATGGAATGCACGTGGAGACGACAAATGCAGCAGGGCATTGATAAGTGGGCTGTAATTGTGGTAGGAAAGACGATGGCAGTGGGCCATCACCCGTTGGGCTCAAAAGCACCTCTGCGAACTGCAGCGTTGGCAGTGGAGACTCTCAGGCTGGTGGAAGGGCCAACGACATGGCCTTCTTTTTCCAGCCTCCTGATGTGAATGGTAATCGCACACAAGAGAGTGATGTCCAGAATGGAGGCTTTTGGGGCCAGAGGGGTGGATTGGTGGCGCTTGAGGCTGTTGGCAACAGAGGCATAGCCCCAACTATGAGTGTCGCTTCTCCAATGCAAACACCAGGTGACACGCAGGAAGTCCGCCAACTAAATGAGTCGCTGTCAAAGCTGAAAGGACAAATGCTGGGAAACGCTGCAGCGGCTGAAGGAGAAAAGAAGCAAGTGGCACATGACTATTGCATGAAGATTGACGAGCTGCAAAAGGTAGTGCAGGGGCTGCGGCTAGAACTGTCTGAAGCAAGAGCAGGAACGGCTGCAGGCACAACCACCAGCGCAAGCCAGCAGGAAGTTAAGGAGTCCAGAGCGCACTCCCTGGCCCTAGAATCCGAACTGTGTAAGCTCAGGCGCCAGGTTATGGCTGAAAGCGAAAGGGCCTTCAAGCTTGAGGAGGAGCTGGCACAGGAGCGACAGTTGCACAAGTCGCAAGAGTCCACGAGTGGGAGGAATCAACAGAATCAACAGGCAAATTTGCAAGAATCTGCACAGCGCGAAGCTGTCCTGCAAGCTCAGGTTGACGAGCTGCAGCAGAAGCTGGCTGCAGCCAAGCAGCAGCTATCTGAGCAGTCGACACCCGTTCCAGGGCTAGAAATGAGCTTTGAAGCTCAGCAAAGGGAGCTGTCTGAGGCCTTTGGCTTTGCATTCCCGGGAGTGGATGCAACACCTCAGGTACATGAGGTGTGCAGTGTAGAAATACAGACTGATAGGGTGGCAGATGAGGTAGAGGATCGATCTGGGGCCAGTTGCTTTTGGGAGCTGCAGGATGAGAGGCAAAGCCATGCGAAGACCCAGGCTGAACTTGCAAGATTGCAACATCTTCTGCAGCAGGTGCGTTTTCAGGATTTGCTACAATGGAGCTCTTAATGCACAGGTGTATTTGATTCAATCAAGAACACATCACACTCTGTCCCGTCCCAAACTGCTATGCAACACGGAGCACTGTGCAGAAGCAAGAACAAGACAAACTTATAGTAGCCCTCCATGAAAGACAGATGCTTGTAAGCAAGGCAGGCTGTCCATCATTTGGAACAGAGGAAGAAGAAAACAAGAAAAAGAAAAGTTTGGCATGGTATCGTGTAATCGAATAAGTTGGTTTGTACCTGCTCTATTCTACACTTTCTTGCTTTATTTCATGTGGACTGGAGGTTCACTTTGTCTGGCGTGTTGGTAGAGCCACAGTCAGCAACCAGGAGCGGATGCGATTGCTGATCGTGACGCGTTTTGGATCAAAGAATTGGAGCAGGAGAGACAAAATAGCCAGGATGCCAGGCAAGCACTCCAACAACAGCTGGAGGCTGCATTGGTTTCAAATGATGCTGCAGAGGCACAAGGTCTCCAACAAAGGCTTGAGCAGGAGAAGGGTCACAGCATGCAGCTTCAGCAGCATCTCTCTGAGAAGGAAGAGCAGGTCTTGCAGTTAGACAGAGATGTGGAAGCGCTGCAGCAGGCACTGCAAGAGAGGGACAGAATCTGGCAGGCAGAGCTTGTGGCTGGGCAGTCAGAGCTGAGGCAGGTCAAACAAGAACTGGAACAAGCTAAGGTGGGTGTGCTGGCAGCAGTAGCCAGATGATAGACTGGATTCATGTGAACAAGATTGTTTCATTTTGAATGCTGATCACATATGCATATCATGTGGCGCATGGATTGCATAGAAGGATGTCAGGTGAAGATCTAAACAGCTGCATTGCTAGTATGGCAATTGCATGGGGCTTGTATGTTGCCAGGCGTTTTGCTGTCAGTTTGTTTGTCAGGTCCTGTTCCTTGCACGGATTCAAGAGCTGATCTGCTGAAGTTTGTGCAGTGCTGACCACTAGCAATTGTGAATGCTGAAGCTCCACGCATCCGATATCCATGCCTGAGCTTGCAGCACTTCAACCACCAGTGTGCTGCTTTGTGAGGTTGCGATCTTGACACCATGAGAGTCCAGTCATTGCTTGAATCCAAATTGAATAATAAGGTGTTCATGAATGAGCAACAACAGGTGATCTGAAAGACCCGCATGGCAACGAAAGCCCCACTTTTTGTTACATCTGTTTGGACCTAGTAATAGCTGCACATGACAACAGAGCATGGGTTATGCTATTAGGCACAGGACGTGCAGGCTTCGGCGCCATTTACCATTGCTGAGGCTCAAGCAGACTCACAAAACGACCCCTACAAGGAGGTGCCCACTCTGAAACAGGAGCTCAAGCAGGAGAAGGAAGGCCATGAAAAGGCAGAGCGCAGGGTCATAGCACTGCAGCAACAGCTTGACGCTAAGTGTCAGCGTCTTGCGGCTGACTTGGCAATGCTCCAGGACCAGCTGGACGAGGAGAAGACGATGCACGCGGCTACGCAGCACAAGTTGTCCACAGTGCAACAACAAGCCAAGCATGCTTTTGACAATGCAGCAGCTTTGCAGAGTCAGCTTGCAGATGCGGTGCAGTTGAAAGCTGGGTTGGAAAATGCCCTAGAGCTCTCTAGGAAGGATCTGGACTGCCAAAGTGGCAAGGTGGCAGACGAAGTTAAGAAATGCGATTTGATCTGGAAAAAGGTCAGCAAAAGTATTGACATCTTTTTGACTGATTCGCGTTAGCTCCAGGCCACCTCAAATGCACCTGATGCACTGCTGCTATTCACCCTCAATCTACAAGAAACAATGTGTGCAGGGCATCCTTCTTGCTTGGCTTGATGATCCGTTGCTTAGTCAGGAGGTCGTTGTGTGTGGTGGTTCTCATCAACAGAGGTGCATGGTGGAACAGCTGCAGACATCATCCCTACGACAATGAATGAATTGCTGTTTACCTTTTAGTGGTTTGGCGGCTGATTTGGTACTACGTCGTGACTATTGCTGCTTGTGTCATAACAAGATCTGGGGGGCAAAAGTGCTCCTTAGCCACTTATGCCCCTAGGGGTTGGGAATTTGGGTTGTGTGTGAGATCAATTTTTGCTGCAGGTGTACAACAGAGAATTGTTGCTACAAAAGCTGTGGGAAAGGGAGCTGTGCCCTGATGTTGGCACCTGGAACATTGCTTGTGTCATCTAGTTCACCGCTGGGGTGCTGGTGACTGTGCATGCATGTTACTGATGAAAATAGGTCTGCTTGCCTTTCAGGAGATGAAGCGCTTGCAGCTGTCCTATTCTGAATTGACAGTCAAGTATGAGCAAGCTTGCCTTCAGGCACAGCAGGAGGGCAACCTGAAGGAGCAAGAAAGGGATAGGGTCAGGGACGCCCAGCAACAGCTGAGCACACTGAGGCTTGACCTGGACCAGAAGCAAGCTGATTTTGAAGCAGCACAGCATGAGCTGCAAGCTGCACAAGCCACACTGGTTCAGTTGCAGAATGCATCAGCAGAGACGGCCAGTGCTGGAGCGGCTGAGTTGGAGCGGCTACTCCAGCAAAAGATGGAGGAGTGCAGCAAACTTGCAGCTGAGAATGGGAGGCTCCAAGATGAAAGTCAAAAGCTGCGATCGCAAATTCATGGTCTGAGCCTGGAAAAGCAAAGGCTGGAGGCGGGTGAGAAAGTCTTGGTATGCTTCTGGCAGATGTTCATGCTCTGTGCCACAGCCCAGAACATCAGACGCTTTGGTTTCGCCTCCAAAATGGCTTTTAGGAAGACTGCCAAACAATTTCAATGAAGTAGCAAGTGAAACAGCATCAAATTGGCTTGTGAAGGCCACCTTGGGCTCTGTGATGTTGTGCTGAAGTTTTAGTTACTTGTTGGCAAACATTGACAACTGTGATCTACTTCCTTGTTTTCTTGTTACCTGATACTTGTGCAGCACTGCTACTGTTGGAAATGATGTACCCAGCAGCGCAATGCACAGCACAATTGAAACGCAAAATGAATATGGAAATGTCACCTCTGCCATTGCAGCCAAAGCATGTATCGGTGTATACAATGGGTGCAGTATCAATATATGCATGTGAGGCACTAAAATGTGCATTGAGCACACCGTCCAATCCTGACAGCAATTCCTTGCAGCCAACAGGCAATATCAAGCACAGCATTTGATTTGCAACAGCAGTAAATTTCAGTCTTGCTTGGTGAGATGTGCAGCTCTGAAAGTGATATGGTGCATTTGGTGCACAGGGTCAGAGGCACACCTGGCTGAGGTGGGAACTGCATCTGCAGATGCTGACAGGACCAAGCAACAGCTAAACCGTCTCAAGAAGCAGATGATGCAAATGCAGGAAGATCAAGAGTCGCAACTCAGCTGGCGTGTGGACGCTGAGGTTTGTGTGCTGCTGGCTGCTGCAATACAATACTCAGCACCGTTTTCAGCCTGTGAAGTGCATTTTGAGCTACATAAGTCAACCACATGCAATCTTTTGGTTGCCCTCCCTGGTTCCTCCTGTTGTTGTCCACTGTCATCATGTCTACATGTCATGGTGCTGTGATAGCACACCCAGATGATGCAGGTTCCTGCTTGGCCGCCAGGTGTGTAGGGGCAATGCTGTCCGAATCAACCACTTCAGTACGTTTGAACCGTTGTGAAACAGCAAAGCAGCGTGGATCACCTGTGATCAAGTGTGAGATGTGACTACATTTTGAAAACCAGGCAGTGCCGAAGTAAACATCATCATATGGCATATCTCAACCGCTGAACGACACAGGTTCTATGTGTTGAATGTTGTGTTGCGTTGGACACTATAAATCAAACGTTCCCAGGCACATTCAAGGTTATGAAGACAGGTCGGCCTTGTTGCATAGGTGAAGCTGGCCCTTGAAGAGCACAAGAAACAGGAGGCATCTGTGGTCGCCAAGCTCAGCAAGGAGCTCACAGATGTGCAGTCAGCTTTGGAAGTTGCCGTTACACGTTCCAAGCAATGGGAGAAAGAGAACAGTGAGTGGCGAGACGCCAGCACCCAGAAGGACAAGGAGATCAGCAACTTGCATACTGCGCTAGGGGAGCTGACGTACCAGAGCGAGGCTGCTGACAACCTGCGGAGGTCGCTGAACCAGTCTAAGGCAGAGGTGGACAGTTTGAGGTGGGCATCAGGATTACTGAGGATGAATTGGGGAGATAATGATCTTTTGTCTGTTGCACACCTGTTGCGGGCTATGTGCTGGCCTCATCAGAGGCTTTCATTTGCCAATTACTGGGGATTTGCCCTTTCATTTGTGCTGTGGCTGCAAAAGTGGGCTATGATAACTATTAAAGCAGCCAAAGCACAAACCCTGGCACCCACAAGCCAGTAACTGTGCTGACAATTTCAGCCTGTTCCCTGTCAATGTTCAAGTGGTCGTTCGCTTTCTGCGCCTGCTGAAAGTTCGTAAGTTCTTATGGACCCACTTTTGAAGAGGAATGGTTGACTGCCATACAGCAAATCAGCCGTGATGATCGTGCCTCACACTGCCATTATGATTCTATATTGTGACTGAGCACCAGCAATCCATGGTAGAGAACATACCTTGTGCTTTGTTAGTTGAGCAGTTGCCTGGTATGGATCGTTGCTGGAGCCTCTGTTCTAGTCGATTTGATGGCTGTGGTCCAGATGCAATGAAGCTGGGTCTTTGTGTTCATAGCAGAAATCGATGTGCGATCAACATGAGGCAGCAACATATTCACCTTGCACAGTGATTCTTCAGTTGCAGTTGCCACAACTGACAACCAAAAGATGCACTTCCACCATCAACACTATCTTTCACACTACTGCTGCCCAGGAATGTTCTTCCATTGCGATACACCTGTGGCTTAGCATCGAACAGAGAATTATATTAACCAGTTGGAGTATGGTCCATGCGCGATCGCTAAAGTGAGCCCGAGGCCCACACTGTGTTGGTGAAGGAAGAATTTCGTTCGTTTTCGTGTACCTATGATGATATCCAGAAGTCAAAGATAGTGGCTCAAGCCGGATAGCTGATCTGCTGCCGCATTGTTTGTGCGCCTCCTCTCTGATAGGTTGGAGCTGCAAAACGCCCAGGCCTCCATGCATGAGGCCCAGTCTTCTCGCAGGGCTGCAGAGAACGCTGCAGACATGGCCCAGAAGAGTTTGCAGAAGTTGGAAGACAAGGCCAGGGCAGTTAGGGAGGAGAATATACGGCTGAAGAGGGCTCTAGAGGAGAGTGTGAGGAAGATCACGGACATCAACCAGAACTCGGACTCTATGGTGGACAGACGTGTTGTGGTGAAGCTGCTGGTGACATATATTGAGCGCCGCAACAGCAGAGATGTGCTTGCGCTCATGTCTCGAATGCTTGGCTTCACGGAGGAAGAGCAGAAGAGGTGTGGGCATGGAATGGGCCAGCTCTGGTGAATGACCTTTCTGGTTGCCTCTGCCCAGCAGCAGCAGCAGACTCATTGCCTTGACAATTAATAGAACGGATGGTGAGCATTCATCTGCAGTATGTTGGAGGCCATTTTGTATTAAGCAATTTCCCGGTTCAGTATCCGTAGATGGGCCTCCCAAAAGCAAAGCAAGCAAGGCGATGGATACCAAATATAGGTCATGAATCATGGACACTTGGATGATTTGGAAACGCCTGTGATGTATATGGATACTGATATGGGACAGATACAAAATCCCAGGTAATTAAGGTATTCCTCTGTCACTAAATCCATGCCCCCTTTCATTTGGTACTATGGATTACAATATACCTCAACCACACAGGTAAGTTATTTCTTGCCTGGCTAGCGTCTGGAAGGGCCTTGCCAGCATGTATGCATTTTGGCCTTGGCACAAGGGGGACAGTGGTGTAGCTGTGGTATCCACAGTATCACGCTGCCACAGGAAGATGTATCGATGGCAGCATGCTGAAGGGCTGTAATGTATGCATAGTAGCCCCCACAGTTTATGAGAGTATTCAGACAGTGTGAAGGCCATGTCTTGGCCTGATCAAGGGATGTTCGTCCTGAGTGCTATATCTTAGCGGGGCACTTATGCAGGGAAGTTGCTTGCCAGCAAGGCTGGCTGCTCCCATTACACCATCATGGAATCAAGGCTGACAGCTCACCAGTCGGCTTGAACCAAGGCAAACCCAGCCACGGCATGTCCTATCCATGATCACCCACACTGCGCGATGTGCACATCGGACTTCAAACAGTTCCCACGCTTGGTTGACTGACAGTGCAAGCTGTTGTCCACCCCGCAGGGTTGGCTTGCGTGGTGCTCGCCGCGGAATCCTTGGTGCAGTGGCTGGCCCTTTTGCGTTGATGGGCAGGGCCCTGGGCGGCGGCGATTCGGCCGCCCCAGGCGGTTCAATCGCCGACCAGTGGGTGGAGTTCCTCCTCAAACAGGTGGACGACGAGCGCTCCAACAGTGCTCTGTACTCCCTCCCCGAGGACAGTCCCTCTGACCCCCCTTCGTCACTGTCTCCTGCCCTGTACGACGACCCCATGGCGCACCGGCGCACCAACAGTGCGGAGCTGGAGGAGACCCCTCACTCCATGAACCTTGACGAACTGCCCGGCAGGGGTGGCCGCTCGGGGCCCATCAGCGACCCTGGCTGGCACCACTCCCTTGCTGCACCGCTGCCCACCAGCCTTGAGCGGCTGAACCCAGGCTCAGCGGGGTTGGGTACTGGGGTGGGTGCAACGAGCAGCACGGGCTTGGGGCAACAGGCCACTCCTGGTGGCGTGGAAGGGGTTGATTGGGGCAGAATGGGGCCAGCCAGTTCTTCTGGTTCGGCAAGCCCTGGGCTGCTGCCTGTCGGCTACAGTGCCTCTCAGTACTCTTGCCTCGGGCTCAATAGGGAAACGTGCTCACAAGTTCTGGTGTTGTTTGTCCAAATAATTTCGCCTACAGTGGCGGTGTCACCTGCGGGAAGTGGAGGGGATCCTCCGTGGGTGACCACACCCTGGAGGGCGCCATCCACCCACGCGCCAGGACAGGTGTCCAACGCCCCATCTTTGGCTGTGCAGGGGGGCTTTGTGCCACAGGGTCAGACAGCAAGTTTGTCATCCGGACTCCAGGGCCCTAGTTTGAAGCAGTATATGCAGCAATACTCGCAGAGAATGGGTTGATCAGCCAGGGAGTCTGGAGCCAATCAATTCTTAGGTCATGTTGGCAGCAATGATTGCTTTTAAGGGATGGTTGGTTGCTTGAGGGGGAGGGGGGAGAAGACAGGCAAGCCAGGCTAGCCATGGGATGGCCTGTGAATTCGTTTCTGTACAATAGTCACTGCTCAATTGTGTCTCCACCTTTGGGTGCGAACAGCTGCCACGATCCGCCTGCAGGATGGGGCCAGGCTTTGCAGGTGCCTTGCATCGGTTGAAATCTGTAGATTCGGGATTGGACATCTGTGCAGTGCGCATGTTCTCCTATTGCACACACCAGGAATGGCCTTCCCGTTCCAAACTCTCTGGCTTTTGGCCCATGTGATTTTCGTGAGCCCTGGAATCCGTGGACCCATGCATCCTTGATTTGCTGTGTCCAGTTGTCAACTGCCACAGCACAAGTATGCAGGATGCTGCAGATGCAGCAGTTGTCAGATGCAAGCGACACAAGAGGTGCAGCCGCTGGGTCCTCAAGATGCAGACTGCCATATGCCGAAGCCCCATCAGCCCGGACTGCAAATCTCAGCTGCATTGGGGGCCGGCTGTCATGGCCACTTGCCCAGGTGGGCATGACATTGAGCTTGAGATTTGTTACCGGGGTAACATTGTGCAAGCGCAGTGTTGACGACAACACATTCTCCACAGCACAGTGTCTCTCCACAGTCCACTGAGGTTCATCATGCGACAAAATCTTATCGTACACGAGGGCCAACGGCTCCCTACCCTGCCCGGACCCTGTCCCCACACGCCCACGGTACATGAAGCCATCATCAATTGCCGTCGAGGCGCAACAATCGGGGCACACTTCTCCCAATGTTCCAAAGCCTGCCAGAGGCTCATGGAGGAACGTGATCCAGCGAAAATTTCATTTGTGCTTCGGCTGTGATTCCACCTCTCGATTGCAAATTGGGCACATCTGTAGGACACATGCCATCGCTGAGCCGTCAGTCGGGTTTGAGACGGACTGGAAACCCGTCTTAGACAACGCCATGGGCAGGATTCCCAGCCAGAGGCCCACGATCGTTGTGTGCAGGGCATTCTATCATATTTGGAAAACAGTATTGGTGGTGCAAACTACCATTTCTGAGGTTATCAAGCAGCGATCGCTCCAAAGCCACACGCACGACAAATATTCCTACATCTTGCACACAGCTCTGATGCACTTCTAACAATTCAAGTACCGCCATAGTGGCATTGACTTGCACTGCTAAAGAAGTACCGAGTTCATGCACATTCCCAACATTTTGCGTGCCAGCAGATTCAAATTCTGAAACAGCCACAAGGGCAAACCAACAAACAGGGTCGACTAGGTGGCCAGGTGCAACTGTGTTCTCCAGTGTTTGTGGACAACTGGCAAAGCTGTGTATGACAATATGTTATTACCTGCAACTAGCTGGAAACCACCGTGACCCCAAACCCTGACAGCAGATAGTAGCTGCCACAGACTCGAAAGTGGAAAAACCAATTGACGACTATTCATGCGCAATAACTCGAAGAAGGAGGGAACGCCGCAAAGCAAGGCAAACAAGGGAAGCAGTCGAGCGGCCTTGAATGGTGAATACAGAGCAGGGCAGCAGCACACCAGCATATCCCACCTTGCTGATATTCAGCCATTTCCCGATGCAGGCAGGATGGAAGATGTGACTGCAAGGCAAACCCTTCACCTGGTCTCCGTGCTCGAACTCGCATCGGCATATAGCACACCTGAGAGAAAAAGCCCAAGCAGAGGTCGCCTCGAGCAAGGATTTTTGGTGAAGTGCAACAACGTAAACCAACCTGGTGTACTATTTACAGTTCTTGTAGTGAGTGAAAGCACATTACACGTAGCTCACTTCTACGCAAGGGGAAACACAGCCACTTGCACCAGATAAGCATTCCTTCCTCAAAGCAAAAATGCTGCACATGCAAATATTTTGGGTGTGCAGCTGTCAAGCATCACCTTGTAGGGCCAAGTGCATGATTTCACTGTGCAGGCATCTAAGCAATTCCCATTCTGCGTGCATTCACACTGTTTTGAAAGGCACTGAGAGCCCACTTCATGTTGCTGGAACAATGACAGGGAGATATGCAGCACACGCAATCACCCCTACATCACTCACTGTTCTTCTTGCTGGGAGTCGCCCCCTGCAGTGTAGCTTGTCTCTGAGAGCGAGTTGATTACCCAATCAGGTAGTCCCTTGCTCACTGTGCCCACAGTGTCACTAAGAGCTTGAAGCTCCTGCAAAGAAGCATGGTGAAAGGAAATGATCAAGGGCTGCTGACTTACAACCCAGCATTGAGGCGTGCCTGACGGATTCGATGGCAAACACACTGTGACAGACTCGTCCATTGCCCAATCAACATTTGCACAGAGACACTGTCCCATCACTACAGCACTCTGTTCTGTGCACAGAACTGCCAAACTTGCACCTAAGTAGCAGGAGGGAATTGTGTTCCACCCTGTCCCATCTTCGTGGCTCCTCCCACCTCGTAAGTCATGTTGTCTGGGTCCACAGGATCGTCTGAATAGTATTCTCCATCGGAGTAGTCCAGACTAGTAGAGCCAGACCCTGGCAGCAATCACTACCCTAAATTCAGGCCCACAATCTGCAGAATAGGTGTGTGCAGGGAAACGCAAAATTTACCCTCAACTTGGGTGTGAGTCCAGACTCAGACCAAAACAGTGCCATCGAAATGTACCCTCTGGTTGGGCGGTGGACACCAAGTTGTCGAAAAGGGCACAGCTACAGCACTGGTGCCATGTTGTGACAGAACAACAGCTTTGGTAACAGTTTGGCAGTTGATATGTGCTCCACAATCGGCAATTCTCTTGCGAGCGCTTGACAAGAAGATGCCAGTTTATCAATTGGCATGGCAGTTCGTGCACCTGAAGCCCTTAGCACCAACAACTGCATTACCTGACCAGCTTGAAGCTTTCAGCCCAGAGGTTACAGCATTGAGCTTCGCACAATAACAATTCTATGGCCCCTGAGATGATGTGGACTGTGCGATTTGCAATTGTGCTTCCAATTACCCCGTTCATTGTCAGATGAATCAAAACAACATAGAGCCCATTTCAACATTTAATGCTGTCGACTGGTAGCTGGGTAGGTAATCCCCAGGAGGAGGCACAATCTTGTGTCCTTTGTGTTCCCCCGAATCTACGATGAACAAATGCAGGAATGTCAAAAATGTTGTGTGAGGATGTCCGCAAGGGTTAACAACTCAGTTATGACTGGTCTCTGTTGAAAGAGAGTCACTGCTCAGAAGGGCCTATGTGCTGGCAAAGCAGGGCTTTCGCCAACGGCTTGACCACTCTTTTCGGAGGATTGCTTTTGGAGCAACGATTTCAGGTCCATCCCAAACCATGTAGGGGAGGGAAATGTACCCATAATCGCATTGCAAGCGCAAGGGTACTCAATTGTCACATTTTGGCCGTCGCAACAACCGTCGCGGGCAGGCCTACCGCGCACCTCGCACGCCCGCGTAGGCCGCCATGACTTGCTGCCAATGTCCCAAATCGTCCTCCCTCTGCAGCCGCTGGGCGAGCTCCTCGTCCGAGAGGCCGGCCGCGAGGCTGCCTCCCACCGCCGCGGCTCCCATGGAGCCGGCCTCCGACGACTGCCCGACGCCGCTAGCCACACGCCAACGCACAACACCGTCACAATCGCCAACCCGTCCCACGCCCACACGCCGCCCAATCACCGCAGCCGCGCCGATCGCCATCCCCTCCGTCGTTCGGCCAGCGCCAGCGCCCAGCCGCAGCCACCATTCACCGCACGGCCTGCCCCATTTGATCGCCCGCGCCAAACACCCGCCCCGGCCCCACCCCGGGCACCATCTCACCTCGTTCCCACCTCCGCCTCCCCCCTGAACATCAAAAACGCGGCCTCCTGCTGCTGCAGCATCTTTGCGAGGGCCACATCCGCGTCCTGCCCGTCCGCCAACGCCGTGCGTCAGGCACGACGTCCCCCTCACACGTGGCAATCACGCCACCCGCGAATCACGCGAGATCGCGACGCAATTCAACATCTCGGCTCCCGTGCCAATGACCGAGATTGGCGAGATCGGCGCAGCGTGTTACCATGCTGGCATCCGCGGCGGCGGGCGTGGTGCGTGCGGCTGATTGGTGGCCCTCGTCGCGCTGTCGGCCTGCGGAGCTCATGGCGGGAAGGGGGATTTGGGCGAGGCGAGGTCTGCGTGGCCTCCAGGCGGCAGGTTGGGGCCTGGGGGCGCGGGATGGGCGGGACGGGAGGCCGGCGAGGCGTCCCACGGCGTCGAAACCGCCGCCCGTCGAGGCTTGTGCGAGGGCGGCAGGGGCGACGCGCGCCAGGATTCCATTTTGAAAACTTGAAACGGTCATTTCGAAATTTTGCCGGGGTGGGATTGTCAGTCGATCACCACGCAGCGGGATAAGGGGGAGGTGTTTTCTTTTTCGGCTTCGATTCTTTTGGGGGAGAGGCGTTATGGATGGAGTGCTTCTTTCTGCTACACAGGGACTCTGAGGAGTACGCTGAGGGCAGCTTTCGGTGCCAGTGTAACCGCAACAGGGCATTCAGCGGGACCAAGTCCTGCTTTTGCGTACGATGGGGGGATTTGAGGGGTGTGCAAGATTTCTGTCGGGCACCATGTATTTTTCAGAACATCATCCGCGACTACCGCTGTTTGTTTGTCGTCCTTACGGTCTTCAACGCAGAAGAAGTAGTGTCTCACGAAGCGTGGATGCCAACCACACTCTTGTGAAGTTGCCTTCTCGAATTGTCACGCTCCCTACACAGTTTCCATTTTTCCATCCTCACATTCTACCTGCAGACTGTTTGCTCCCGAAGCACGGCTGGCCTCTGCCCACCTCATTTTCAGCACCAGCAGGCGGGACGCCGGCTCCAAGTTGCTGGTGCGAGTGGGGGTGGTGGTGGCCAAGGTGCTTGGGATGCATTTGTGGCATGAGCTGGCAAAGACACAGAAACCACGGTAAGAAACGCTGCATGCTGCAGGTGGGCCATGCGGTGCGTTTGATAGTCCAGATGCCTTGGTGCCTGCTTTGCTTCAGGAACTTCGAATGCGCTGGAACGGCAGTGCACTCTATACCATGTGGAGAGGGGAGGACTTGAGTGGCCTTTTCGCGCAGGGAAAATGACCGGTATTGCAAAAAAGCATATTTTGTCTGAATGGGATGAATCCCTGGAGGACTCTTGACACGGGTTCAGGGCAACGGATCGTTTGCGTTTGGAGTCGGTACAGCGTGTCGTTTCTAGTGGCGAAACGGAACCGATTCCTGCGTTCTCGAGACCCATCAAACAAACAGCCTCCATCAAGCCACCTGCCAGAGTTGGCCGTGCGCAGCGGCACTGTCCACAGACACACCCAGTGCCGCGCCTCCTCCCAACGAACGGATCTGATTTGCAGCCATTCAGAAAGGCCAGAAGGCAACGATCGCGTTTTCATCGCTGGCCGCAGACGAGTACATCAAGCGGAATGCGCCACTGTGACGACCAATGCCCTCGCGCACCCATGGGCCCAAACTCCAATCCGCGCAGCCCCGCAGCGGATCCCACAAGCTCCATGGGCGCGGGCCCCGCTGCCTGCGGCCTTCAGCGGATGCGCGGCCCCCCGATGCTCAAGGCACCAACGTGATCATGCGCCATCAGCGAATCCATCACGATGCATTCTCCGCACAGGGGGCACGGCAAGGCGGCCAGCCAGCCACCAGCGTTGCCGCCCCAATCCCTCCTTATGCCTTGAGGACACGTCGCGAGACGGAACACCGTGAGGGGCCAGTTCCGCTGGAGACTCAGCCACCCACTCTTGCTCGTCTGCAAACCGTGTGCGTCCCTTCAGGTCTTCACAAACGCAACAATGCTCGCACAATCTGCCAGGGGCGTGAATGTGCCATGATGCGCGTCACCTTTTTCGCGCATGTTTGCCGCGAGTGCCCCTCCAGCGTTTCAGTATAGTGTGGTGTCCGGGCTTGTGCCGGCGCCGGTGCCGAACGTCGAACTCGGGCAGGGCCTATAAATGTGTGCTCGGAGACGTCAAGAGTTACGTCACCAGTGTTGCAGGCACCTGTCGGGGTTTCGCAATTGACGAATTCCAACGCAATTTGAGGAAATGCAACGTTGCAGAACTGGGAGCAGCAGGGCAGGGGTTATGCATTCCTTGGTGGGAGGCGTGGCGGCACACAGGGTGGGAAAGAGCTCTTGGGGGGAGAAACTCCAATCAACGCAATTCCAGTGCCACAGCTCAGCCCGCTTCCAACAATCTGCACGTAGGGCAATTTTGGTTCTGGAGATATGGCAAATTTGAACATGGGCTGCGTTCTGCTGGCAATGGCGATACCGTTTCCCTACTGCATAACCAGCAGCTGCGAGCACAGCTTTGATATTGATTGATTGTCTCCTGAAGTGATTATGTCTGCATTAATTAATTACAACAAATTTTTTTTTGACAAATCACTGCGCATCATGTTCCTTCAAGGTAATATCGGGCAGCAGTCAGCGAATCAGCGACAATGGCGGGTGTGCTTTCACAGTTGCCCTTGATTCTGCACCACGGCCCTTAGCCGCTTCCAGTAGTTAGCAGCCCCCCTGCCCAACACAGTGGCTCCCTGTCTCGATCCTCCTCACGATCGGGCAGAGTTGTTGTTGGCTTGGCTTGCAACAGTCCTAGCAGTGTTGCTGCAGCCCAGCAACACAAGTTGGTGGAGAGGACTGCACTGGGCATGGGGCTCCAGCTGCCCTGAACAGGGGAGAGCTGAACATTTTGCAGCACCATGGACTGTCACCTTGGCAGCCCTGGTGTAAGCTGAGGACGTTGAGACAGCCATGGATACATGTGAGCAATGATTCCTTGTCCTGCCATGAAAAAGAAAACATCAATTTGCCTCGATTCGGCTCACAGCCATCTCAGCACTGTGCTGCTAGGCATCGTGCATTACAGCAAGTACATCAGTATAAAGGATCCCCCTGCAGGTCTTCAAGGGCCGATCAAGCAAGCACATGTAGAATCTGCCCTGCACCACTCTCCAGACAAGTCAGCAGGCTGCACGGTCTCTGACCTTCTGACCCAATGCATTGCCACAAAACAACAAAGCAAAGGATCACCTTTGCCGGCACAGCTCCTGGCCTTCAGCCTGTGTACATACGTGCAATGACACAGCTAACATACCGATCAGTCCTCTCCATCATAATCAACCAACCCGGCACATGTACCTGAATCACCTGCATAATTGTTAGAGGGACCTGCAGTGCAATGGACGGAACACACACAACACACACCTGTGTCAGCGTTATGGCCGCTGCTGCTTAGTTCCTCAACATTGGGAGCAGCAACAACAGGGAGGCAAAAGGGAATGGGTGGCACACACATTCGCTTTAGAAAGCACCATGAAAACCACCCACAGACATGTGGGTGGACGGTGCCGCCCCACAGAGGGAATAAGATTCCAAGCACTGGACGCATTGGCATTCATTAGCATGGGATGGAGAGGGAATGCTAACATTAAGCATTCACTAGCATGGGCTGGAGAGGTATTGCTATTGCTGCTAGACCTACATGATTCTGGACAACTACAAAATCAGCAGCTCACACACAATGTCACAATGCTGCAGTGTGGAAATGTGCCCCACGGAGTTTGCCAGGAGGAATGCCCGAATGACATGTTTTCTGAGTACTGGCAAACATCCTCCACTCATTTACTCCCCTGCATGCACACATCTTGACCTCCTGTGCTGTGCTATGCACCTGTGCACCTCTGTTTCCCTTGCACTAGTGAGCAGTGGTACACTGGCACCGCAAAACATCGGCAACATGCGTGCAGTAGCCAGGTCAATAGCAGTATTCCATTCCCAACTGTGAAAACCACTACTGAACTATGCATTGACCATCAGATGAACGCCTCCACCAGTTATGCCAGAACTGCCAGCACTTTAGCCTCGATTCAAAAGAATCTAACAATGAAATTGCTGCCAGTTTTCACTAAACTAGAGCAGGCATCAAAATGATGCCACCAGCAGACCATGTCCTGCCCTTTGGGATGACTAAGGCCATAGTGCCCCTTTGTGGCTTCCACCATAACATTCTCCTGGATGCTCACCTGGTGGCAGCACGTGGGGAGTTTGCGGCAGTGGCGGAGGGACAGGCGGTGCCCAGCCTTGGCTGGCTGTGACCTGGTGCGCATCTGCAGTGTCAGGCGGGAGTGGGGGGAGAGGCGGAGGCACGGGTGGAGCCGGGGGCTGTGGCATCCTGGCGGGGGCGCTTGATGCGGCAAGGGTATTGGCACTTTCCGCCTGTGGTAACACGCATAATGCTTTGATATGTCATCAGCGAAATGCCAGAGGACTGCAACTAGCATTATGTGCTCTTGCTGCATACTGAACTTCTCAATTGCTGTACATGTCACCCTAAACCCAGAATAACAGCAATAGTAGTAATCAAAACCTGCGGCATTCAGCAAGGAATACTTGGCGCAAATGTAAGCAAAGGCCAGTAGCACAAGGGCTTACAATTACAGATTCTGTTCTGTCGTGAAACCAAGCACATCCCTCAAGCAATAAACACTGGTGGGGGGTTAGCCATCAAAAAGCAGGCACTGGCGGCAGTTCAAGAGCACAGACACAACACCGACTCCCACCTGGCTTGTGGCCGCCTGCCCTGCGAACTCCCTGAACCTGCGCTTGCCTAAGCTGCCACCTGTACCAGCACTTGGTTGAGCTGGCTGTGGCGAAGGGTTCGCCATGGCAACTGAAGTTTGCAGAGGCTGCTGTGCTGGGTAGGCGTATGCTCCACCTGGTGGACCCTGTTGCGGCACCTGCGCATAGGTACTGGCCGAATTGCCCGGCGGGTGCCCATATGGTTGGGGATATGGAGGCCGCCCTGGAGGCACTGCTGGCATGGGGGCAGGCGGTGGTCCTGGCTGAGAAGCTGGCAAGGGGGGTTGGGTGTAGTACTGATGGCCAGCGTTGAAGTAGGGAGGACGAGGCGGCTGGGGAGGCCGGGCATACGCTGGCGCCTGTGGGTAGGGTGGGATTGTGGGGTATGAGACTGTCGCTGCAGTTGGAGGCATCGGAGGCTGCGGGGCAGCAGGCAGAGGATATGGTGGCAGAGTGGCTGGAGGCCTCACTAAAGCTGCAGGGGGAGCAGGGTAGCGGCGGTAGTACTCAGTCCTGACAGTGTCTATGAGGTTTCCAGCCAAGCTGCACAGGCAGAATTCCTCACGTTAGTGTGGGTGATGCAAGGGCAGAAGCCTCCATCCCCTTCACGATGGACAGTTCAGTGCATGAGCCATTGATCAAGCAATGAACCCCACTGCAAAGATACACAGTCATGAAAAAAAAGAGCAACAAAGCTTTACTTGCTGGATACGATGTCTCATAGTCACCTTTTGGCCTCTTCAAGCCTCTGGCTGTTTGTGCTGGTGAGGAGCATGTGCAGTGGTTCCTGCCTGTGGAGGACAGCCCAAGTTATTGACTGCTGATAAACTGCCAAGACAGCCAAGCAAGTGACCAGCACAAGGCATTTTGTGGAGGACTAAATGCACAGCTGTGCCTGTTTAAGGAACTGGAAATGAAAGCATGCAGCACCTGTGACATTGCTCTCTACTTGTCAGCCAGGCCATATCTCCACCTACCCAGCAGGTCCTCCAGAACCTTGCCCTTGCAGAACAACAGTCACTCCAGTTTGTTTCATGATGTGCTGAAGGTAGCAGCCATCTGCACAGTACAGCACAGGTTGAACCCCTCAGCCTATGACAGTGGGAACTGCCTGCAGTCATGACTCATTCTTCCACAAGGAGGATGACAAATTGAGTTTGCAAGGGGACGTCAGCTGCCAGTCTATAGCTGAGAGCAAGAGTACTGCAGAAGATGTGGCCGTCAGGAGCAAAATCTCACACCTGTGTGTGCAACAAAAACCCAGAGGAAACAGCAGCACATGTGCGGCACCAACAATACACGTCCTGGACACAAACCATTCAGGAGCCCACAAGATATTATGCACGTGTAGGTTGTGGCAAGGAATGACGTCCTGGCAAGTGTCAAACTACTCCGCTGACGAAATTTGCCAAATAGGCAATGCCAATCTCAACCACATCCTTGCAGCCTGCTTGCCAAACCAAACTCTGGAGGTGCCTGCAGACCAATGGGCAGCTTTGCCTGGTACGATTGCAAAGACACAGGCTGCTGTCCAGGAACAGCCCTGTTGCCTCTTCCATATGGAACTTGTTCTGAGCCTCCCAGGGAGCACCCTGGCCGGCTGGACCCATGGTGGCCAACACTTGAGCCCTGGTCGCCTCGCATTTGCCTCTGCACTTCTGCCGCAGCTGCTTCTACAGCACGCTCCTTTGAGGCATCATCCTGGACAGAATCATCAACAAGCACCTTGTCGGGGTGGAGAAAATTTCAGGTGGGTACATACCCACCAGTCCTGACACAGTCTGCTGATGTATGTGTCACCCAGCTCAAGCACTCCTGGTAATCGATTCTTGCTACATGGAGGATCTGGCTGCCTGAATAGCTCACCACTGGTCGACTTGTTTTCCTTGCTTTGAGTTTGCCTTCACCTCAATTGACAACAAATGGCAAATCACTGCCCTTGCACCTACTAGGCAATGTCAGAAGATTCCCTGCTTGCCAATTACTTGTTGTGTACAGTGGTTGGTAGCCAGATGGATTTGGCACTGATAAGGAACATACAGATTCTCGATGTTCACATCTGTGCTGCATTAGGAGCAAGGGCACAGCAGCCTTCGAGATTGCTGAGGGTGGGCGCAGGAATGCTGCTTCCTGTCCAACTTGTGGCTGTGTACTAGGAGGGCTGTGCAGCCCACTCCCAAACGCACAAGGGGGCCACCCCAATGAGGATGGACCATGCCACAGTGCAAACAGCTGCCGATTGTCCTACGTGGACCTAATCTCCTCCCATCCTTTCAACGCACAAAATCCCACCAAAATGCAACAGGAAATGAGAAAAAGGCGGTGAGGCAAACAGCCAATGCAGCTCTGACCGTTTGTTCCATGTGCCCCCATGGGCATATGCGCAGGACAGCAGCATTTGTGTTCAACGCCTTTGTGGCAATTTCTATATTCCACAATGGGCAAGTAAACTAGGGAGGCACAACAATGCAAAAGCAGCCACAATGCCATGCGTATCTTCAGGTAGCAGTCTTGTCTGTTTTGGGTGCATGAAGCAAGCTGAAACAATCCCCTGCGCGACTCCCTGCTGGCCCACCAGCCCTCAATTACACCTGCCCTGCATCATTTTGCAGGTGAACAGGCACCCTGTCACGCCAGTTGCTCAGACACATTGAACAAATAATTGCCTGGCAACACTGCCCACTGGCCCACCAACACGCACATATCCCGCTCCAGCTCCCGGCAGGATGCGCAGGTGCAGTGGCTTGTCCCTCTCGTCCAGCTTCGCGCCCGGGGGGCAGTAGGTGCCACGGGTGACGATCACTGTGGCTGTGCGCCTTTGGATGTCCTCTTGGGTGCCGCGCCTGGTGAGGTGGTACCGAATCTGGTTGGGGGCGTCGTTGATGACCACCTCCCGGCAGATCTCCTTCTTCTCTTCGACCTGGCTCGCCAGCCTTGCCGCTGGTATCAGGCCCTTGGCCACTGACTCCTGCACGCAACAGGACCCCGAAGCATGACAATCCACAGTACGAGTGAGCTGGTGATCAGCACTTGATAGCTCCTGGAGCGAATGTGCGTGCGTTGTGATTACTTTCAAGGGGAAACAGCGCCATTGCACCTGGCAGACGATGCCGTTCAACAATTCACTGTCGAAGGCATGGATGAGAAGAAAACGGCGATGGCTTGAGCAATTTGCCCGCGCTCTTTTCACTCCGTCCCCCGCAGCGCAAACTGCGACCAGGGGCGACAACTTCTAGCAGATTCCGTTCGAGAGGGCGACTGCCACGCGCGGTCTCATCACAGCTCACGGCGCAACAACCGTGCGGCGCGCGTGCCACCAGGCGCCGTCGTGCCCCAATGCCAAACGGGCATCGCCGCTGCGACCTTCCACACGATCAGGGACCCCGACAGCCCAAGCCCGCCGCCCTGCAAGGGCCACCACCCAGCCACCAGCCCCTGCGGCAGCCAGCGGCGCACGCCCGCCATCAAACACCCACCTTGTTGAGCTTGCTGACAACCGCCAGCGCGGCCTCCTGCGCCCTCTTGATGGCGTCGGGGCCGGGGGGCTGGCCGGGGCGCACTGCCACTGCCGGCGGCTGGAACACCGCGTCGGCTGTGAAGCCGATCGCCTGGCCGGCGGTCGGGGGCGCCGACCCCGCGGCCGGGCCCGGGACGTCCCATTTTCGGCGCTTGCGCTCGTGCTGCACCTCCGGCTGGTCCATGTGGGGCGACCAGGGACACCCGCGGCTGGCGCGGGCGGCCTACCTGCTGGCTCCAAGCTCCTGCGGGTCCGCGCGGGTTGGTCAGAACGGCGTGGGCACGCGTCAGCCAGACCCAGGTGCATTTGCGAAGGTGAAATGGCCTGGTCGCGTTGTGTTGCTTTTCCTTTCCTGGTTCCGATTTTTTTATTTCCTTCCTTTCGGTGAGAAAGGATGATGTCGCGTTCACTGCCTTTGTCCAAATTTGGCAGGTCGTCGGCGTTTCGTCCATCAGGTCGTGTCGGGGAAGGGCGAGGGGAGAAACGTGCGGGTTGCCTTTCCAATCGACACACGGCGGGAAACGCCCATGGCACCTCCCACACGCCCCCCAACAAGCAAAAACAAGTGTGCGAGGCCTTAGTGCACACACTTCTGAAGGAGGGTGCACTCAGATTGCAACAAACGAGTGAAGAACACGAATGGCAAGCAGCACAGGAAGACATGCACGGGGGCTGTGTGAGTGCTAGTTTGGCCAAATGGACTTTGGCCACGAGTCCTGTCCCAGGACTCGTTTTCTTAGTATGTACTTCTCGTCTGTTTAATATGTCTTTTCGATCTGCGCGAAATACTGTCTCAATACTCATATATTATAAGTAGGTGCTCGACTACGAGTGCCCTTGCAAAGCGCCAACATGCCGACTTGAATTAGCCCACGAAGGTTGCATGGCTGTCCACATGCGTCATCCTGACACTGTGGAGCACACCTTGGTTGGTAACAGGCGACTTTCTTCGTGGCCCGCTGCGTCTGGAGATTCTGTACTCCAGACCGCACTGTTGCCCGGCGAGAAGCTGGATACCGCAGTATATCAATTCCGTTCAGCGTGGTGACATTTTGTTGATCATTTCGCCCTCGTGAAGCTGCACTTTGCACGTGCTTGTTTGAGAAAAGGCAGCAAAGCAATTCCATATTGACCCTAGATAAACCAATTTCGTGAAAGATTGGTTACTTGCATTATGAGGCAGCATCAATGTAAATGGAGAAGCCACCGTTACCGTGGTGTGAACGCCGCGCAGCCGTATGTGTGGCTGGCTCAAACAATATCCAATTACCTCTTCATTTCACAGCCCTCAGGGGCCAGATAATTTCTCCGTCGCCAACAGTACGGTAAGATACATACGTGTGCGCACATTGCTAATTTGTTTCACAGCAAGTGCCATATATTTGAGCGAAAATTTTCAGTTGGCGCACTCATGTTCGGTGTTCGACACATGGCCGTGAACCCGCCGCAGGTGCACATTCATGGGGATGCTCTGACGCAAGTGCTGGAAATGGACGCACAATGCAGTATAAATTTACAACAGACAGATACAGGCAGATACCGCTGTCAAGGTGTGAGGACAGCGCAGTCAGTCCGTCGATTCAATTGCCATGTCTTTGGCAAATGTTGAAAGGCTTACACTGGACAGTGGTCCAGGACAGCAACTCGCTGCCTACCCTGGCGCCGCCGGTTGGAGGTGGTGGGAAAGAAGTGTTGCATACACCAACGCAAGGGGACTGTGGACACCCGCGGACAAGCACGCAGGCAATATCCAAAACGTGGTAGCCTTGGCAAGACTGCTTGGGCATGCTTCCAAGATTTTGGAAGCATCCATTCAAATAAATGCGAACACAAAGCGGAAATTCAAAGTGTAAGAGACCACTTATAAGTGGCTAATCAGCCAGACTGGCCAAGTCTCCTAGTGGACTGAGTCAGCAGCTACAAAATGCGCGACAGGAAACACGTTGGAGTCTTTTCTAAAATTCTCTGAATACCTCGCCTTCACATAATGTGGCAGCTGTGACTGCAGTTGAGAAACAACCGTGTTGTTTCGCGGTGGTCCTGCGCGTGCTATTCAATGGTCGACAGTTTGAGCAGACGCTGCAAAACGATAGCACGGTTATAATTACTTTACTGTGGTGTTGTGTCGGCTGCGGAAAACTGAAGTGTGTTCCCCGTCGAATTGGACGGCTGATGGCTCCCAACTTGTCTTTATGCATATTATTTTGGGATAGATTGCACATGTGCTTCCGGCCGGACTGTCCTTCTGACGCATCTGGCCGACAGCCGAACGTCGATTCCTTGCCAATTGACCCCCTTCCCCAACCGGTGCTTCAAACAACCTTGAACGCAACGAGGGTGCGTGCCTGGCGCGTTCCCGGTCACACCATTGCCCGCCGGGGCTTAATTTAAGAGGCATCGAGCAGCTGTTCAAGCGAACCCGGAATGCCACGCCCTGCTGACGCGGACAAACAGCGACCGGCTGCCCGCCGCTTTCGGGTATAAATGCCCCTTCCGCTTGTGCCTGAGTGCTTCGAACT